ACTTGGAGTGAGCCTTAGCCGCAGGCGTGCGCTGCGGAGTACCAAATTGGCCTGGCTTCCGTCACCAATGGAGTGTTTGTTAATTCTATTCTGATTGGACGCGCCTCGTCCCTGGCGTGGTGCTCGCTGCCCTGTTTATGATCACTCTGGCCATTTATTCTGACAGTGCCCGTGTCGTCAGCCAGTACCAGACCAGCCATCGGCTAGCGCACGTCGCACTCGTCGTGCTCCCTTCGGGCCTCCTCCTGTCAAAGCTCGAGGACACCGCCCTCCGAGAGGACCGCAGGGCTCCCGTTCCATCAGCACACGCCTCTTGCGATCATCATGCGTGATCTGCTCGCCTTGTCTCTGCTGGCCGTGGTGGCGGTCAGCTCCGGGCTGAATGAGGAGCTCGAGCTTCGCCAGCTCCTGCTCTCGCGGCCGGAGCGCATGGTCCGACCGGTGAGCGCCTACAACGACAGCACCAACATCATCGTCGGCTTGATGACGACAGACGTCGAAGTGGACGAGCGCCGCAACACGGCCACCGTCAGCGGCTGGCTGCACATCGAGTGGGAGAGCCCTGCGCTCGCCTGGACCGACTTCCCGGCCGCCGACGAGGTTAGCCGCACGCGCCTGCCGCTCTCCGAGATGTGGTCGCCCGACCTCCTGCCGTACAACATGGTGCCTTCGGCGGGCGCCGAGTGGCTGCGCGTCACGCCGGTGGTGATCTGGCCCGGCGGACGCGTCCTGGTCGTCCCGATGGTGACCTTCACCGTCCGCTGCAGCCGCACCGTCACTGACGACTCGGACCAGCTCAGCTGCCCCATCAAGATCGGCTCGTGGACGCACAGCGTGGAGGAGCTGGATCTGCAGCCGACCGCCGACACCGTCGACGTCTCCAACATGGCGGCCAACGGCGCCTGGAAGGTGGCCAGCTCGTCGGTGGTGCGAGAGGCGAAGATGTACGACTGCTGTCCGGAGGAGTACGTCTCGCTCAACATAGAGCTTGTCCTGCGTCCGCAGCGCTGCTAGCCGTGTCGTCGGGCCGCCGCAGCTCCGCCAGACGACAGGGCCGAGCAGGCAGCGGCTGAGGCTCGGGTCCGGCTCAAGACGCCACGTTTACCGAGCAGTGTCAACTAGAGTGGAACAGAATGGCTTTGACCGTTGCCGAGCGAAGATGATGCGCACGTTGTGTGTCTTCTGCACAGCTGCTCGCCGCTTTGTAAGTCTTTTGGTGATTAAATAAATACTTGCGATGCCGCTCCACATTCCACGTGCTTCGCACGAGGGTTGTACGTTGTGGCGACACAATACAATAATTATGGTAAAATTTGGAGACTGTCTGACTGAGACCTGACTGTCTGTCAGGCATGTGCCTGTAAAATTTACAAAAGTATAAA